TGGCGCTAGGATTTCTGATTTGTTAGAAGTCTCTATTCGCCCCCCTACTTTTGACTCAGCGCTCTTTCCGATTGCTTTGAGTTTTTGGTCCTCTGAGTACAACACCTTTATTTTTCCTCTTGGCCCCATGTCTATTACGTTAAGGGATGTTGGGGCCCTGGTGAATTTACCACCTTTGGGCGATACCATTTTCCCAGGTATCTTAGTTTCTGGTGGCGCCCCACAGTTCGGCAAAAACTACACCGATTCTTATTCAAGCCTGCAGACCCTCCATAATCATTCGAGCGCTGAGCCTACGCATGCTGAGCGGGTGGCCTTTCTTTTAGTTTGGCTTTGTAAATATGTTTTGTGTGTGCCAAGTATAAAGCCTTCTCTGAGTTATTTACCTATAGCGCACGAATTGGCGCGTGACAGGCCTTTGAATTTATGTTCTTTGTTTTTGGTTGCCCTTTATAGAGGTATGGCTTTTCTTCAGGCTCAATTGAAGAATGGTGCATCTCCCACTGGCAGTGGACCTCTTTAGTTCACTCAACTGTGGTTGAGATCCTATTTTCCATCGCTTGGTGCTCCATCCATTTCTCATCCTTTTGCTAGCTGTTACGGGCTAGCTATGGAGCCCTTAACTCCTGTAAATATGTCCAAACGGGACATTTTTTCATTCTTTTATTCTTTAGATTCAATTTCTTCCTTCTTTCCTTTTCCTCCTTTTTTGACTCCAAACTATGTACATCCCCCTTCCACTATAGATAGCGCGAGCACCTCTCTGCTCATTTGGATCCAGTTTTTAACTGGGAGGGAGCTTTTCCATGATATCTTAACTGGGACCAATGCCAAAGCGGGGGTAGAAATTTATGCTCCCCAATTTTTTGCCCGTCAGCTTGGTTTTGGCCAAACTTGGCCTGTTCCTCTTTGCTATTCGAAGAGCTTAATTGACCGTTTTCATACCATTAATAAGGCGGAAGCAGAGGCTATAAACGTTCGTAACCTCCATTTATCAAGCCATTTTTCATTAGCCCCTTTTGATTCTTGTCATGCTACTCACCCTCTTTTTGAACAACTTTGGCTATCAGTGAAGCGCAGATTATTTGCGACTGAGGTCAATCATGCCTTTCATTCATTAGACCAACCGAGTATTTCTTCTCCTCCTCCTGTTTTGGTCACTCCTTTGTCTATTCGAAGCCCCTCTCCTTCTCGTCGTACCAAACAAACTGCTCGTCCATCTTCTTCTCTCCTCGCCAGGCCTACTACGGCCAAGAGTGCTTCAAGCTGCAAACGGCCAGCCTCAGCATCTCCCATTATGGAGGATGATGTTGATGATGATGATGATGCCCCTCTTATCGTTAGGAGGAAGGTAATTAAATCGGTCTATTTACAAGTATGCTTTTCCACATTTGATACTGTTCTGTGTACTGATGATCTTTTGGACTTTTCAGAAAAGTTCAGTCTCCCCTTCAAAGGCTTTGGCATCGACAATTCCTACTCCACCATCCTCTGTTGAGGCTACTTCATCCAAACCGGTTGGTGATGGGACCATGCTTAAAGATACATCTTCAGTCCCAGAGTCTTCATCACAACCCGTGGATGAGCCACCTTCTTCCCAGGGTGTCGACCCCCCAATCATCGAAGTAGAAGGTAATTCAGTTTTTGATGTCTTACCTTTGCTCATGCTATTGGTTTCTGATTTGTTGCTCTTGAACTTTGCAGATACTCCTATGAGTCCGCCCGTTGTGGCAACATCATCTCGCTCGGACAAGGGGAAGTCCTCACGAATGGATGAGTCGCTGGTGGCAAGCTTGGCCGAGGGCGCGCCATCTTCTACGATTGTCGACGAGGTAGTTTTTATTTTTGCTTCACTTCTATCATTTCTATTTCCACCTTGTTCATTGTAGTGAGGATTTTTAATATTGGCAACCTTCTTTGCAGGACGCTGACAGGATTGTGCGTTCTATCCAGGATTTGTTCGCTTCTTGGGGGCAGGTCCAAATGCCTCGCCCTGCTCCATCTGGTTGTCCTGCCGCTTCTTCAGAGGATGATTTGAAGTTCTTGAAGGAGTTGGTATTTGAGTACGTATCCTTCATGGATATGGACATTGGAAGGGCTAGTGCTGCCAGACACAAGGATGAACTTGAGCACTTGAGTGCGAAGTTAGAGCAAGCACTGACGCTTCCGTCGCTCAATCTTTCTGCCGACTTTAAAGCGACGTTGAAAGTCATTCACTCCAAGGTCCTTTCTATGCTGGCCAAGAATGCTAAACTAAAGGCCAAGCGTACTCAATATCTTAGAGTTGTAGCTGAGAAAGAGTCTTTACGCATGGAGATCAACAAGGCTAAGGACGAGTTGAAAGAAATATCTTCCGAAGTCATGATTGAAGACTCTTTGATGGTTAACTTGGCTGCTCAGATGAGGGAACTTCAAGCCAAAATGGACGATTGCAGGGCGAGGATGGCTGCTAAAAAGCGTAACGCCTCTCAGGGGATTGAGCGAACTAAATCTTTGGTCGAACAGTATAAGAAGTTGGAGGTTGATGATGATGACGTTGCGGCTGAATTGAACACACTTCCTCCCGGCAGAACGAGGATTGGGAAAAACTTAGGGAACAAATTCGTTCCTTATGGGGTAGACTGTAATTAAGCCATACGATGTTTTTTTCTCTTTTGTAATTTTTGTTCATTATTAACGAACATTAACTTTTTGTGCATTTATTTGACGTTTATTTTCTAATCATCAACTCTTTAATCACTTAACTGCTTTGCACTAAGAATCTTGTCCGCTCCCTTTTGATATTCCCACTACTGTTCCCAAGACTTAGGGCCATTTAATTCCGTCCATTAAACAGAATTGTGGCTGTTCATATTCTGTCCCTTCATCTTCACCCCCCTATAAATGTTTCGCATTTTTCACCCTTTATCTTCATCTCTTCATTTTCTTCTTCGAAACCAATTTGCTGTCATTTCTTGGCATTCTGACGATCAACCAGATCCAAAAATGGACTGTCTAGTCCGTCCGCCTTATATTTACCTTGATGTCACATATGGTATGGGAGGTATAGGAAATATTTTCTGGCCAGCAGCGAAGTTTTTTCCTGCAAAATTCTTCCCGTCGTCTCTTTGTTCTTCACAATGAGTCAATGATGGGAGGCAATTTTTGGGCTGCATGTGGGCCACTTTGCTTGCTGAGAGTGCTTCTCAGCTTGCCTGCTGAGAGTTTTCTCAGCCTCGCCATTGCAGCGATGCATTTAGGAAGGTAGTGGGGCCAGTACACCCTCTCACTCATCAACCCCACCATTGCAGCGATGCAATTAGGAAGGCGGTAGGGCCAGTACACCCTCTTACTCGTCAATCCTACCATTGTAGCGATGCATTTAGGAAGGCGGTGTGAAACTTACTCAGCGGTCAACCGGGAGATACTTTAGTTGTATTTTGTAGCACTTCCATCATTTGTATCTTTTGTATTCTTGTAATGAACGTTTAATAATAAAGAACTTTATTCGAACGTATTTCGCTCTGTCTTTATTATCTTTTCATCGTCCAGAATGATTGGTTATGTTTTTATCTGTTTACATTCCCATAAAGAAGGAACATATTTTTTCAAATACTTGCCGTTAATGAATCTTACGTGCTTGGTGCCGTCTAGATCTTCTAAGTGGTACGCTCCATTAGGCAACACAATGTTTATTTTGTATGGTCCTTCCCAATTGGGCGACCACTTCCCGTACTTTGGATCCTTGGTATTCAAAGGGAGTATCGTCTTCCAAACTAGTTCACCCAGGCTGAACGACTTGGCTATGACTTTTTTATTATAAAATTTAGCCATTCTTTACTTTTGAACTTGCAACCTATCTAAGACGTCCAATTTCAATTCATCTAAACTTAATAAATTTTGAACTAGTGATTCGGCATACTCATCATCATTCAACTTATGTTGCAAGCACATTCGAATTGATTGCACGTTGATTTCCATAGGCAAAACGGCCTCCTGTCCATAAACAAGTTGGAAAGGAGTAACTTTGGTACTTGACCGAGGTGATGTTCTATAAGCCCATAAGGCCTTGTTCAAACATTCGTGTCAATTTCTGGCGTTTTCATCTATCATCTTTCTGATGATATTCTTTAGAATCTTATTAGAAGATTCTACTTGTCCGTTGGATTGAGCATAGTACGGTGTGAAGTTTACTAATTTAATCCCAAACTCGCTCAAAAATTTGTTCACTTGATCCCCATTCAAAGATGTTCCGTGATCTACTTTGTGGAATTCCAAACCTATAAATAATGTGATCACGAATAAACTCTATAACATTCTTCTGGGTGATCTCTTTTAAAGATACCGCTTCTACCCATTTGGTGAAATAGTCGGTTGCAACTATAACAAAAGTATGTTGTTTGGACGATGGAGGGTAGATCTTCCCTATTAGATCTATCGCCCAACCTTTGAATGGCCAAGGTTTAATAATAGGTGACATCTCTCGTGCTGGCGCTCTTTGTATTGGACCATGTTTTTGGCATGCTAAACAATTTTTTACGTACTGAACGCATAGTTCTCCCATCTTTGGCCAAAAATATCCACTCCTAATAATTAACCACCTCATCCTTTGGCCAGCTTGATGAGCTCCACATATCCCTTCGTGCACTTCAGCCATGATTGTCTTGGCTTCTTGCAAGCTTACACACTTTCGTAATACACCATCAGAGCGTTTCTTAAACAATTCTTCATCTATTAGTGTGTAATTCAGCGAACATAGCTTTGTCTTCCTGCTAATCCCTCCATTAGGTTCTTTAAGGAACCCTTTAATCTCTGTCCTCCAATCCACTGCATTTCCATCTTGTATACAGTGAAGTTCAATTTTCTTCGCCCTTCTTTGAATCACCGGCAATATGATTCCATATTCACAAGTAGACTTCCAATTCAAAACCTTTGAGTACCCTGATGCCNGTTCCCATCCTCTTTACAGTAAATAGGCTGACCCCACATGCTTTGTTCGTTTCATTTTCATTCATTTTCTCTGTCAAAATTTGCACCCCAACTGACCCCACCCGCACCTGCCTTCCCTTTAAATGACGGACCTTATATCCTTCTCAAACCCCATAAACGCCCCAAATTCCTCTCATTTTCTACATCCAATTTACTTTCCTCCAAAAATTCCTTAAAAATTAATGGCTGAAGGAGGCAAGCTCACCAAACTCAAGTCAGTTCTCAAAAAGATGCAATCTTTCAAGCTCGGCCGCCCCAGCGGCACCTGTATGGGCACTTTGGTTGCCAATAACTCATCAGATGATGGCTCGTTTGACAAAAACAGTGCAGCCAAGGACCTGCATCCCATCTATGTTGGCAAGTCACGACGGCTCTACTTCATCACTGCTGATGTGATGGACAATCCACTTTTCAGAGAGCTCGTGGAGCGGTCTGGCGACGGCGAAGAGTCGACCACTATTCGCTGCGAGGTGGTGCTTTTCGAGCACCTCCTCTGGATGCTGGGAAATGCTGATCCTCAGCCTGAGTCCTTGGATGAGCTGGTGGAGTTTTATGCATGCTGATAATTTATGCTTAAAAATTACTGCCAGTAACTGAAATTTAACTGTCGAGGGGTTGATTGTGTATGTTCATCCCCACATTTGGCATATAAACTGTATATTTTTTTCATAATGTTTTTATTTAATTTTATGATTAGCAGTGTAGTATACATTTCTTAAAGTGAGACACCTAATGTGGTCGGGGAAAAAAAATAAATAAATAAAAATCATTTTACTCGGCTAATCTTAATGAAGGGAAAGCCTCACGGGTGATTATATTGTAAGAAATTAAATCCTAGTACCAAGATCTTTAGAATTCATGACTTTCACATATAGATTAAATTGATCAAGAAATATACCTTGATCCATAAAAATAATTGAAAGATTTAAAAAAAAGAAGAAGAAGAAGAAGAAGAAGAAGAAGAAACTAGTAATATCAATAAACTATTCTGTCTTTTCGTCTCTGCAATTGAATGTTCTAATTTGATGGGTTTCATTCACATTTATATACGTAGAGAGAGTCAATTTCATGGTAAGGAAAAAAAAAAACCACTTTCCATCAAAGTGGATAGTTATAAGACTGTCACTCCTCAATAGGCGAATAAAATTTTAACAATAATAAATCACTTTAATTAATCCATTAATAATATTACTTGGGCCACATTAATTGGTCTCGCACATATCAATAGTTTTAGTCATGATAATTATTCATTTTAATTTATTCCAAGTTTCCGTTATCATTATATGTAACCAGCTCGTTGATCGTCTTTTAACTGAATGTGCGAGCCATTTAAGGATTTCCTATAGATTTGAATGATTTATGTTGTTTCCGACAAACTATAAAATCATAATACAATGTTAAGGACTAACTCGGTCGATTCATTTCAAATTGAACAGTGCAATTTTCCTTCTATAATATGAGTTAACCATACTATCTATAGTTTTGCACTGTTGGTAGACACGATTAAGTTTTATATAATAAAAGTACTAGTGGAAGACATGAAATTTATTTAGTACATGCGTTTATTTGCTACCCTATTACATGTAATAGAATTAGAAACGCAAGACTAGTAACATATTTATATGTAGTAAGTACAATAGAATTAGAAGAACCACCGAAGTTATTAATTTATGTGCCACCCCTCGACAGGTGTTGAATGTGAGACGAGCAAGAAGCCAAAAAAGTAGAGTCAAACAAGAAGTTTCACTTTAATTTGATTGTTACGTAGCAAAACAGATCGTCCACAAACTTTTTATGTTGGAAATTAAATGTTGAACCACAATTTTGAGGTCCCCACCATCTCGTTCTTAGAGTTTTGTGAGGGAGGTAAATCGCAAGATGTGCCCCATTAGATCAGGGAACAAAAGCTGTCTGTACACTGCGTCTACAAGGAGTCTAATTCCATATCTCAGGAATCGAATCACCACATTGCAGCTGCAGTAAGGGGTGAGATAACTCACTCCTATCCTTTGCACCACTAGACTATGCCTCCGGGGGACTTTTTTATATTGGAAATTAAAAGCTTTCATAGTCAAGAGAAGTGAATAAATGAGTAAATTGAGGTAGTTATAGCATTTATTTTATTTTATTTTATTTTATTTTTGAATGGAGACAAGGGAACAAAAGAAGACGACCGTGTTTTGCGGCTTTTTGAGGTAGAAACGTCCATTCATGCTGCGTTTATATCAACATGGTGCAGTCACCGCACATTCTCCACAACTAAAATTCAACTACTTATAAAATGCAACATTTTACTATTCAGGTATTATTGAATTTCCATCCCAGTATTAGAATTTTAGGTTAATTTTGTCAAAAAGAGTAGTTCATTTTTTCATATTTTGATGATTATTTGGAAATTTAGTCACGTGATTAATTTGAGAACACTAATATTAAAATCTCAATGCTAGTTGATATTTAAACAACAATCTTGAAATTCTAATGATCTCTTCATCTTTAAAGGAGTAATACACTTTTAGGTTATTTTAAGAGCACGAAGGATTACTACATTGAGGCTTTAGGTTATTTTCAGGGAATGAACTTCCGTTGTACTAAAAAAACTGTTGTATTTGTTAGGTCTTTTTTTCAAATTAGGTTGGAATTTTTAGAGAAATTTTTTCCCTTTATTCTACGTGATTTTTATCTTGTTTCCATCTTTGTCATATTTCTAGAATTTGGCATGCACCCTTATAAATACTAGACTCTTTTCACAAGTTTCATGTTACTGAAATATAAAATAATTGTGTAAATATTGTTATTATATTTATTTTCTCCATATTATTCAATTAAACAAAATACTACATTCATCTGCTGATTTGCCTTTTATCTTACTGTTTGTTCGCAATTATATATTTCATATTATGTCATATATTACCTCAATCCATTTTGTTTCCTAACAAGTGGTATCAAAGTTATTGGTTGTGATTTCTTCGAGATTTTTGTTATTGATGGCAACCATGAAGTGTAAAATTTCACTTTTGGATCACAATATAAAAATTATAGTAAGAATCAATGTTATAAAAATCGGACTAGACCGGCCAGATCAATTGGGAAACCTGTAAACCAGCCTTTAATCCAGTCGAATACTCATATATTGACCGAAAAACAAAGAACCGGCTAATATACCATCAATCCAGCCGGTTGAACCATGAACCGATAAACCAGCCACAGTTTTGATTTTTTTTTTCCACAAAAACTTTTAACTATCTTAATGGGCCACCCATTGCAATCGAAGGCCCAAATAATCTTTTTATAGAAGTTATTCTTCTTTACCTCCTTTTCAAAAGAGACCATTTTTTCAGTGTTTTAATAATCTTTCGATGTGGGATACTAGCTTCTTCTTAAAGGAGACTCTTCTTCTAATGTTGTGGTAATCTTCCAATGTGGAATAATAGTCAATTGTCAATATAACTTTCTAAGTGTTTACAAGTTTACTTCATTATTTTCATTAACAAATATAAACCCCAACAAGATTTTAATTTTCAATTTGAACAAAGCAAATTATTTTTAACATATTAATTGTTAGTTTTTGAGGTTATAAAATAAATTACTATAATAAATCTAATTAGCAACCATGGATTATATTTACTTTGAATGAGAAAACTAAAATTTAAAAATATATTATAATCGTGATATTTTATAGTTTATTTGTGTATTTATTTATTTAATTTGTCATTCGGTTCGATACCAATTCGACCCCGGTTCAACCCTTTAAACCTCGACCCTTCTTCTTTTTCGGGTCAATTTTTAAAACATTGGACAGAATGAACGAGAATGAGAGCACTCAAGTAACTACAAAAAGCAAGTAACAAGTGGAGTATTTTGAATAATCAACAGAGAAGGATAAGCAAACGTCCTCATACAATCCACAGGTTGATGTAATAGTTTTTATCAAAGCACCTGCACACCCAATCCCATTTTCTCAAAGGTTGAAAAATACCAAACTAGAGAAGTAGTTCACAAAATTTTTAGAAGTCCTTAAAAAGATGTATGTCAACGTCCCTTTTACTGACGCGATCCTTCAAATTTCAAACTATTCCAAATTCTTAAAGAAGATGTTGGATAAGAAGAGGAAGCTGCCAAGCATGAATCAATAGCTTTATCTGAAGAATATAGCACGATCGTTCAATGCAGAATCCCTCCCAAACTTTAATGATACAAGGAGTTTCACTCTACCATATCCTATAGAAAATTTACATGATATACATTGTTTAATTGATTCAGGAGTGAGTATTAATTTAATTCCACTGTCTCTTTACAGGAAACTAGGATTAGGATATCTTAAGGGGATATCTATTATCCTTAGCTGGTGAATCGATCATTAAAACACGCCTACGGAATAGGTGAAGACATGCTTATCAAGGCGAGGAAGTTCATATTTCCGCTGACTTCATCATCTTAGACATAGAAGAGGCATGTAAGATGCCAATAATCTTAGGAAAGCCATTCCTGTCAACAAGTCGAGCCTTACTGAATTTTGACACAAACAAGATAGTCCTAAGGGTGAAAGATAAGCAGCAGAGCTTCAGTATGAAAAATCCTTCTAAGCAACCTTCCTACTTTAAGGATTGAAAACGAATGGACCACTGTGAGAGCTACAAGAGCAAGCAAAATGAAGATCGAATTGTTGGAAGGGACAACAATGGAAACCTGACTGTGTGAAGAGTCAAGGATGAATCAAAGAAGTGCAACTAGTGTCTGAAATGCATAACTGAAAATTTCCTTTTCAAGCTACCGTGATGAGCCTAAAAATAATAGAAGTCAAGCTAAGGATTTTAAACAAGCGCTTGATGGGAGGCAACCCAACACGTCTATCCCCTTTTTTTTTTTTTTTTTTTTAGAGTAGCTTAAGATAATTTATAATAGTTTTTACTCAATTTTAAGGGCTCATCATCCACAGCCCGTTTTCTCTTAGGTCTTTTAGACATTATTGGTTTACTAGATATTTGGGCTAAGTAACACTTGTTCTGGGTTTTTGAATCTTAATACTTTATCTAGTCGCATTGTGTAGGAACATGATATCGCATAACACTTAAACCAACAATGACCATGAAGACAATGGGAAGCAATAGGAAAAGCTAGCTATTTGATAAAAAAAATAAAAATTCACAAATATTTTCTTTTTGTGTACTTGTGCAAGTTAGTTAGCCCGCCTGATAATGAGGAATATATTGAATTATAAATTAATATATGAATGGTGAATAAATTGCATGCTTAAGTAATTTTACTTTTTCATGAAGAGTTTGATATATATTGAGCACGTGAATTAAGTTAAGCATTGTGTAGAAATGAGTTGATTTCATAATTGGATAGGTTGAAATAGTGGACCATAGATGCTAAACCCATTCTTAGACCAAATTTAGAATAGTTTAGGGAAATTTCACTATTGTAGGAAGGTGTTCAGATAAATGAGGATTCCATGTGTGAAATTTAAAAATCTTATGTGGATTGTCTAAGGTCAATAGATTGAAATTGGGTGAAAGTTTCAAGTAGTGTCGGTCTACTTGAATAAGTGTTTAATGAGGGACATTGCACTAATAAAAAAATATTTTATTTGAAAATTTATGTTTGTAGCCTTTATAACTTGAGTTATTGAGCTTGTAAGGGTGTTAAAAAATGTTACCCTAAAGTTAACTGACTTAGAAGTTAACGGCCTAAATCTCGCTAAGTGTGTAATTTAGAAAGCTTAAGGGGGAGAATGTTGCAAATAAGGAAAAAATGTTGAAATTTTTTTTTAAAAAAAATAGAGCAAGCAGAAAAAAGCAGGTACATGAAATAGAAGACGCACCAAATGTCTTGGTTAAGTCACAAACTCTTATTTAAGGAAATTTGACTTTTAATAAGGGACTATTAGCCTAGTTAAGTCGTGGAGATTCAAGCAATCAAAATTAAAGGAGGGTCCTTGATTATTGACATGTTAAACTGCAATTTGTGAGATTTATCTAAACTAGAGAGGTGAGGATAGTATGAAAATTAACTTTAGACCTCACACTTGATAATAGCAAAAAGAATAAGTTTGAGGGTATTTGAATCTCACGAGTGAAGACAAGAACATATTTGATAATTAAGGGTCGAGAATGGAACAAATTATGAATTCATGATATTATGCTTAATTCTTCACACACACACGTCAACTTTGCATTAGAAAGTAGACTTTGATTTTTGTATTGTGATCTTGAAGCTGTACTTAGATTTAATATCATGATTTCAATTCCGAGATAAAATACCATGTTAGCTAGTTAAATATTTTTGCATGCTTGAGTATTTATCTTAAGTCATGTTTTGATTTTGTTTGAGGACAAACAAATATTCAAATTTGGGGGTATGACAAGTGTATTTTATACACTTATTCGAGACTTTAAATAATGATATTTTATAGTTCTTCTATTGAAATATAGCCTAATTCATGTTATATTGTGTCAAATATGTAAAATTCGATATATGATGAAGAGTTGGATAAACAAATGCAAAAATAGTAAAAAATGGCGAAATTTGAAAATCGAGGACTGAATTACAAACAATTCATAGATGAGACAAGAGACAAAATAAAGACCAAAGATGCTAAGGATTTGATTGGATATAATTGGAATATAAAGGAACAAGATTACAAGGAAAAATGACTCGATTGAATCAAATATAAAGTTTGGGGACTAAAATGCAATACTTCAAAAGTTGATTCGGATTGCAAAACAATGATTCAAAAATGACAAGAGTCAAATAGAGTCGAAGAGAAGTTAATGGGATGAGAATTTGTTGAAAATGATCAAAATACACGTGAGAAAGTTCGGCAAAACTTTTTTTTTTACTATGCTTAAGTATAGGCTTGTAAGCCTTGCGTACACAAGGTTTCAAAAATTCAATTTAGAGACCAAATTAAGTGTACTCTGTGTACGCACACAATGAAACATACATACGTATAGTTCAATTCCCCCAAAAAAAAAAAAAAAAAA